GATATTATTTACTTTGTAGTTCTGATAAGATGATTGTATATAATGAACACAAAGGGAAGCAATGGATATATTACCCAGTATTCATTATAAAAAGGGAACATTGAGTCAAGTAGAGTTAGACGTGGTCTCTATTATCAGGTTGTCTAACACTTCATATGTGGGAATGAAGAATGCTGGATTTGTTGCCACTACATCTACACAGTCAAGGAAAGTTCTATACCCCACACAGATTTTTTAAAATTCCATGGACTTTCATATAAGCTCTATGGGTTCTCAGAATATCGTACTCCCTTATTTTCTTCTCCATCTATAATTTGCTTGGCCTATCATTTATATTTCAATTATGGTAATTTCCCCTTTGTTTTATTGTGTACAAACAAGTGCGGTTTGTAGTACTTTATCACTAGATTTTAGTTCTGTTTCTAATATTACTCTTGTCTTTTCATTTTTATATTTTTCACTGTATAGGGTAGCTTTTGATTTTCTTGTTTTAAATTCAAATTTATCAACTAAAGTGAATTTAAACACAAGAGTAATTATGTTTCTAATCGATATATACAAGTACTTATGCATATTAATATGTATTAAAGTTCATTTATTTTATTTGTATTTTATAGCAATATCATATATATATATATATATATATATATATATATATATTGTGAAAAATGAAATATATACTTCATTTTAGAGTATCTAGACATGTTGGTAATATGGGTTAAAGTTCTCCAGAAATCACAATGACAAATACCTTGGATCATTAAGTGACAGAAAAAATGCTTTGCTTTTGATTAATTCAAGAAATTAAAAAGCTGCCTTTTGGTTTTTAGTGCACACCTGTAATTCTAGCACTAGGGGAAACTAATTGAGTTAGCATGACCTTGTAACAAACAAACAAACAAACAAACAAAATAATAAAGGGCTAAGGATGTAACTCAGTGAAAAGGCCTTGTGTTCAAACCCCATACTGAAAAGAAAAGCTAACTTTTACAGGCAAAAGCTAGGTACCTGAATCCACAGTTTCTTGTTGTCTACCTTAGGTTGACTGAGGCTCATGATTCTACTCTGTCACATTTATATCTAGAGACTATGTCTACCTGTCACTTATAGCTCTGCTTATGTGGTCCCAGCCTTTGCAGGATATTCTGCTTTCTGCAGCATCAGGCTGCTCTGCTAAGGAAAATCCAATAATTTTTCTAAAGTTCAAAATCTGATTTTCATTTATTCTTTAAGCATAACTTCTTAATGAAATTAGATGTCATTGGGAAAATCTTAAATAAGATATACATTATTTTGAATAAAATTATTTAATGATTTCAAAAGTGTTTTATGCTTATTGTGAAAAAAACTAGAAAATTGGGAAATAAAATAGAATACATGATCTCATTCAGTTTTTAACATTTTGCTACACATTTTCCAGATTTACATATATATCAACATCTAGGTGAACACAGCTATTCATTTGTTTGTTCATTTATTCATTCATGATGTTATCTATTCTAGGTGTTGAGAAGTTATCTGTAATCAATTAAGATCACTGCTGTCAGAGGATTTAAGCTTCAGTTAAGAGAATACCAATGTATAAACCAACAAATATTGTAACTGCAGAAGGAGTCATCTTACAAGAAAATAAAACATGAAATAGGGTGATAAAATAGACAGTTCAGGGAAGTTGGCAGGAAGTGGGGCAATAATAGGTTAAAGAGGGGAGCAGGCCTCTTAAGGGGGTTCTATCTCATTGGATACCTTGATAGAACACAGCTGTCCTGACCTGGGTGCACACTTGATTTGGTATGTGGAAAGACCAGAAAGGAGGCTGGCTTGTTTGGCTGTATTACAGTAAATACAATGGGCTCAGGTATGAGTTATTGTGAAGGTGGAGGGAAGATGAGGTATAGTAGAGGAAGAAAAGGGTGAAGAAAATGCAACTTTGTTTGCATTGTGATGGTAATCTATTGGAAAGTGGCCAGTTCTGATTCTGTTTGAAGATGTTCATTTCTGTTGCTTGGTAAGGATGGACCTTAGGATACCAAAGAGAATGCAATAGCACTAAGCTAATGGTTTAACAAACAGTCCTCAGTCACAGTGGTTTAGCATGACCAAACAATTCACTTTACAGGCCAGTACATGGATAGGGCAAGGCTTTACTCCTCATGGTCTCCGGAGGATTCAAACTCCTTTCATCATGTGATGTTCTTTCTTTGTATCTCAACACATGGCCTTCAAACTGTGCAGATAGACAAAGAATATGGATGGACAAACAGCAGTGACCAAAGGCAAAGAGTGTGGATGGATGATCACTAGTGATCCTGGAAGTGGCTGTCTAAAGACCATGTGCCCTGGGCAGGATTCAGTCATGTTGCTACAATTTAACTTCAAGAAAATATAAGAATAATTTCTGCTTTCTCTTTGCCACACAAGAATAAGCCCTGAGGTTGTTCAAGTAGCCCATGCAAAAGGCCATAATGATTTAGCCTATTTTTTCATGGAACAAATATTTATTGAACAATTTTTATGGAATAAACACTGTTCTATATACTAGCAACACAGTAGGGAATGAGAAAATTTCTGCCATCATAGAGCTTCTACCTTACTGAGAAACAGATTCAAAGAAAACTGAAGGCTCCACTCTACATATTTTTAAATAGTCAGCATTATAAAGCAAAATTAAAACAGAATATTGAAGATAGAGTGACAGTGAGTAGAGTAAAATACATTGTGTATGTGTACATATTAAATATATATATATACAAATTCACAAATGTCTGATCTCATTCAATGAATATGGCTTCCTTATTAAAGACCTTTAGAATGTTTATATATTAACCAATACATGCTCATTTTGACTGTAAAAACAGTTCCAGAAGACCATTTCCATTTAAATGATAGCCATCTTAAAAACACAAATTTGTTAAAAACACAACACTGTAATGAGATTTGTCCTCTTCTCCACCTTCTCTCATTTGTTGGACAGGATGCAGTAATAAGGTAATAATAAAGTTGCAGTAATAAGTAATAATCAGGTACTCAGATCAGTCTCCATTAAAATGTCAGTATCTTTTCTCCTGAGACCCATTTCAGGAGAAATATAGGTGTATTTCAGACTTCTGTAGTATGGGGGAGGGGAAATGTGTGCTTCTCAGATACCTAACTCTCTTGTATGCTGTGCTTTCCACCAGCAAAGACAGTGGCTTTCGTGTGTGTGTGTGTAGAGAGGGGTACTAATGAATCTATAATTATAATAAAATTATGGTATTCATAAACTCAAATATTTTGCTGATATTTAATGCCATGGTTTTAATAAATATTTATAAGTGATAAACGTATATATTTTTTTTTCTCTAGTCTCTGGTTTTTTTCCACTGGCTTTCTAATAAACATGGTTTTATTTTTGATGTCTTTTTACAACTGTAAGATTCTCAATGTGGTGGTTAAATATGATTCTACTAACTTGATTGACTTGAGACCAGGGAGTTGGTAGCCACACTTCTGGTTGTGTGTGTGTGTGTGTGTGTGTGTGTGGTGTTTGGGGGTCATGAAGACATCATCTTGAGTCTGATGTTGAGCACTTACTTTTCCTTCCCTGGAACTACTCCTTTGCTCTGCTTCCTGGTACCATGAGCTAAGAAATTTTGCTTCTCTACTCCTTTTTTCCATGAAATTCCTGCCTTGAAGCCAGCTGACCATGGACAGCACTCCCTTAAAACATTGTCCACATTGAGCTTCTCCTTTAAGTTGTTGATATTGCATATCATGTCTCAGTGACTGGAATCTTAGTGAATACCCTAAGTTTTAATGTGGAATAATGATGATAAAAGAAAAGGGACTTTGGAAGGGGAAAAAAGTATCTGGGAGAGCAAATGTAAGGTTTTTGTATGGAACTTTAGAAAAGAAAAATTCTCTTAAAGGGAAGCACAGAATCCTGGGCCCCAAATCTGTGAGTCTGCCATTGCCAGACAGAGAGCCTCACTGAGAACAAGCATTGCTAAGGCCCACCCTTTCAGGTCAGCACATCAAACAGCAATGGACTTTAGATAGAAAAGTTGGGGCAGCAAGAAGACAATACTGTATTCAGTGAAACTGAAATATTTGTAAACATTTAAATAAAATGCTGTGGAAGAAATTTCTGATAGATTCTGAACATATGAAGAAAGAAAAATGGAGGTTAATCCTGAGCTCTTCATAATTCATCTTTTAAGAAGCCAAATAAATATTTAGAATAAGAAGCACAGCTGTTTGTAACATGATAGATCAAAGCTTTGGTCAGCTTGCAGCTATTCATATAGCATTTACTGAACAAACAGTATTAGGGTGATTCTTGTTTGATTGTTTTAATTTGGTAGTAGAGGGAGAGGAAGACTCCTCTGATTCTATCTTAGGACTCTAGGAAAATTATGAGAGTAAGATTTTTGCAGTACTACCCCCTTACCCTTGGCAGCTCTGTCTCATCTCCTAAGCATGCTCCCCTTTGGCACCTCAGCTTCATAAGGTCTGAACTGCCTGGACTCCTCCCTGGAGATTCTTCTAATGTACTTTTTGTATCTGGTCCTGAATTGCCTAATGCATTTCCTTTCTCTTTCTTCCTCTATTTACAAAGCTTGCCCTACATTTGCAAATCAGTGAGAGCGGGCCAATAAAGGGACAACTGATTCGAGGGTTCTGTGTATAAAAATTTTTTTGATAACTCAAATGCATACCTTTTTAATGGAACTTTGGATCCATCAATAAAACGAGAAAATATGTACCAAATATTAAGGAAATTCCTAAATGTCAATTCTCTATTCTGGTCCTTTTGTTTGTTTGTTTTTATCAGTACCAGGGATTGAACTCACGACTGCCTGCTTGCAAGGCAGGCACTTATGCTGCTGAGCTAAACCCTCAGCCCCTAATTCTCTATTCTTAATATAAGGAGGTGAAATTAAAAAAAAATACTGCAGTATAGGGGGTATATTATTATGCACATTGAATGTCATATTTTAGATCTTGTGAGACACAGAATCAGGGTGCAGAAAATATATATGGGAGAAGCAGGTAATTTAAATACAATAGTGGGAAATTTCTCACGGTAGCACTCATAATCTTTTGCTTTCATGTCCCTTGAAGAAATAGAATCTGTGTTAACAGCTGTTTCCATGTTTCTGACAAAATTTTTTTTTGACCCTTTGTTACTTTATGCTAATACATTAGTTCAGGGTTCTAGAGCCCAGGAATGCCTAACATTTTACTCCAAATTTACTACATGTTTAAACTTCCTCTCCTCTTCCTTGAAATCCATGGAAGTTTAAATTCCATAATCTTTAGAAGTTTTTGTTTTGTTTATGAGTAGCTGGAAAGAATAACTTTTACAGGTTATATGTAAATTTAAAATGTCTTAGAAACTTTGCTTTGAAAGTTTTGCTTGTTATGCTTGTTTTAAAATCTCTGAATACCCAGGAAGAGAGTTACATGCAAATTTAGACCCCATTCACAAAACAAAGAAAGTAAATTAAAGGGAGCAAAGATTAGGTAGGAAATTAAAGCTGGGGCAAGCCAGGTTAAACCAATGGGGATAATCTGTCCTGAAACCAGAGCACAAGGGCAGAACACACTCCAGATTGACTGCAGCTCCTGGGCTGTGTAAGTGGGAACAATGGAAAAAGTGTCCATTTGAATTCTTCATTTATAACTGGTGCCAAACCAACTGAGTCATTGATAGGACAGTTTATATCTGGGGACCGGCCAAAGGAGCTTTTGATATGACAGCCATCCCAAATGCCTATTTGCATGAAGTGAGCATAAAAGAGAGACTGTGAATTCAACAGTCCAACCAGGTCTATTGCTAAACTTAAGAACAGAGAAGGTATCTCTTACAAGCCTTTTAAAGAGTGTTCTTCCTCAGGCTTTGAGGGATTGGGTCAGAGAAAGGGCGGGCTGAGGTGTCTTCTGTTTCCTCTTTAACCCAATGACATGTTCGCAGGGAATTTCTTCTAGTTTGCTGACAGGTCTTCTGTGACCTACCTATGTGTTTTCTGTGACCTGAGTAGAAGGAGACCTACAGTTGTCCAAGATGGCAACCAGACTCACTTGGACTGATGCTCTTCCATGGAGAAGCAATCTAGGATTTCCAGGTACAAAGCAGCGTAGCCATTAACCTCTGGGGTGCTGTCAGCCTTTCCATTCACATGCTCTATCTATAGAGCATACGTCTTTTCCATTTTAATAAATATACTTACCTCTTTCCTTTGTGTGTGCCTTGTCCAGTTCTTTATTTGGCACCCCAAGAACTTGGAAAGAATTAGTCTGGGACCCAATAGCCAATGACCTTAATACTCGTATTTTTACACACTCTTAACTGCGTAGGAAAAGGTGTTGCTTTTTTTAAAATATTGGTCAAGATTTTATCTTTTGAATTTTTTAGAGACTTCGACAATGTTCCTGGATAAATTGTATTTTTTTCTTTACAAGTTTCTTTGATGGATCTTAAAACACTTTACATGTATTATTAATAAGCAGTATAATTCAGTATTTATGTGTCCACATTGTTTTTGCCAGAGTGCATATCTTTTGTATTTTCAGTTTTATGGGAAACAGTTTTAATTTTTCTATTTTAGTTATCCATTTCTCACTTGCCTGCTGCAAATTTGGGATTTATGTTATGCTTCATTCAAGATTCTGTTATAAATTTCACTTTTCTTTAGACCCATCCTCCAAAATCCATCATCACTCATGTTATTGTTCTTTACACAGACATTTATCAATATTTGAAAGCTGAAATATTTGAATTTTATCTGTGAGTGCTCTCCAACTTAAAGATCACATCTAGTTTATTTCTAGTTGTGATTGTGCCTGCTCCTTCTGATTTGTCAATTGTCTGAGTATTTTATGAGTTTCACAAAACCACTTTACTTTGTGTTTTCTTATAAATAAGGAGTACTTCCAAATTACATACTAATTTTATGGACACTTAAAAAAGAAGCTTTCTGGAAAATGGTGTGATCTTTAGTAGCATTTTAAATGAACATTTGGAAATTAATGGCTACACTTAAAATACTGCTATACTTTAATCACTCAATGTGTTTGGCATTATATAAATTGCAGTAATTTCTTTAGTTCTTTTTTTTTTTTTTTTTTTTTTTTTTTTTTTTTTTTTTTGAGACAGGGTCTCTGGCCTTGAACTCACTATATAGCCCAGGCTGGCACTGAATCCATGGCAATCCTCCTGCTTCAGCTACAGAGTAATGGGACTACAGGCATGTGCCACCATACCTGGCCAAGCTGCAGTAATTTCTGCATAACAGTCATTTTTTGGAAAGAATTTTAGATAGTTGCTGCTATATGGTCATTGCAACAAAGGTAGGAAGCAAAGGAAAATAAAATAAAGTAAAACATCTATTTCCCTTTCAAGTAAGTAGTCATTATTAAGGTTTTAAGAGTCGTTTAGGCAGAAAAATAATGAGTTTGAGTCCAACCTGGACAACTTAATGCATACTTGTCTCAAAAAATCAACAGGACTAGTGATAGAGCTCAGTGCTAAAGTATTCCTGGGCTCTTTCCTCATCTCTCTCTCTCTCTCTCTCTCTCTCTCTCTCTCTCTCTCTCTCACACACACACACACACACAATTTTAGAATGCAGTATTGAAGTTTATTATTTTCTTTAAAAGTGAGGTCTTCATGAAATGAGATTCATGTATACCAATTGCTTTCCTTTAGCTGCCTCTATTTGAATTTATAGTATGGGGTGTTCCTGACCTATTTGTGAGATGTGTTTGTGGATGAAGAGACTGGTATGCAGAGTAACAAGTGCATGGAATGAAGCCAGTTGCACTGCGTTCTTATTCAGTGTGCATTTCGACATGACTTCCCTGTGTGAAGTGAGGAAGTGTGCTGAGGGAGTGGGAGATGCCAGGGAAGCAATGGTACATAGCATTGTAGCAAAGCAGCCTCTCCATTTGGAGGCTGGGTGGGCTATGACTCTGCCTGTGCCATCCCTAAGACTGTGAAATCAAAGTGTGAACTTGTATTGGTGTGTGAAGATCCTTAGGACGCAGCACATCTGCCAACTAGGATCTGGATCATGAGCTTACACTGACTCCACCCTGAAACAGGGGCATGTGACAGATTGACACCCAGATTGTGTTGCACTCTAGACAATGTGGACTGATTCGTCATGAATTTTGTGTGAGAATATTCCTAACTTATATTTTGCAAAGTGACTTTAGACTTGACAGGTAATACAGACACCAATGCTTTGAAAATGTCACAGTGAAGAACTGTTTCTTCAGACTTTTCTTCCAGCAAAATTTCATTATTCTAATCATTCAATTGCACAATAGAGAATCTACTACCTAGATAGATAGAACTATTTAGACACAGAAAATCTTTTTTTTTTTTAATACAACACACAGGCTGAGACAGCTCAAAAGCAAGGTGTCTCACTGGTCACCTTCCAGAGATCACACAGCCAGCACCGCACTCTGCTGTGCATTATGAAGCACAATTCATCTTGTTGATGTTACTCTGCATGGGATCTTTTTCTAGTGTTTTGAAATGAATCTTATTGGTCAGAAGCAATTGGACTAAGTGAATTCAATTTATTTTCCACTCTACAGGTGTTGTCTACTTTCAGTCTCCATGGGGAGGAACTTCTGGTAGGGGCACTTTTGTTTCTTCACTGAGATATGCAGCAGAGAAATTTCCACCTGAAGGCTGAGGAAGAAGGTCAAGAGGACAAGGGTCAGTTATGCTCAGAGATTAAAGACTATGCTCTTGTTTTAATGGAGAACCAATTTCATGACTGACAATAGCAAGATGAGAGGCTGAGCGGAGCACCTTCCCTCTCTTGTATGTATCTGGGGAATGAATTCAGACATAAGTCTCTTCTTCAATAAAGACTGAATTTCAAGTAACTCAATCAAATCCTCTGTGCTGATTAATTTAGAATCTACTGCTTAGCATGGTTTCAGTTTTAGTTTTATTCTAGAAAAAAAGTAAATTTGTTAGTACCAATAGATTTGCTTGTCTAACCATTTGCGGCCTTAATATATGGCAATCAAAATGGATTTAGATAAACTTTTATTTAGTGAAGAATTCCTGTAGAAAATAGCAAATAGCTATGCCAATTTTAATTGTATGCTGCTTTTCCCCCTAAATATTTATTACATCTCTGCGTTAGATTCCCTAACCTTGTGACCCCTCACTCTGAAGTAAAATCACTGGAGTATCTTAAGATATTTTAAATCTTTGAAGGAAGCCACAGTCTTGCACTAAATGAAGATATTCACAGTTTCACCTTTAGATCATGCTACATTCTTTTAGTATTTTTTTTTTTTGCAAATCAGTATTTATTGTAGTAAAAAACAAGCACCTCTGACAATATGGAAAGCAAATGGAGGATGCCAACGACTTCTTGCATTCCACAGTTTAGGAAGCTTTGGAGTGTCCATGAGTTGTACACTCCTGCTGATTGTGAAATTATATTCTTTTAAGTGCCTTTTCAAATGTCTGCTAAATTGCTAAAAAATAAATAATTGTTGCTTGGATCCAGTCTTAATAAATGTAATGCTATTTCTTTTGGGTCTAGTGGTGCCATGAAACAGTACTGAACTGCAGAGAGTGCTGAACCTGGAAAATTTGGATCGTTTGATTCGTATCACCAGTGTAGTGAAGATGGACCAGCTGATCAACATGTCCTATGAAGAAAAAATGGTGTTCAGTTTGGTTTCTTATTAGTTATTTTTAGCATCATTTTCCTTTTAAGATTATTTGTTTTGATAATAATGTCAAAGATCAAACAGATATATACTAGAATTTTCTTTGTCTTGTTCATAATGAAACATGATGCAATTTCAAGCATGTAATAAGCACAAGCAATAATTGTGCAGTGAGAAAACAAAAGTAGATAAATATTACTTACTCACAAACAATGGTTCCAAATTATGAAACTCCTTTAAATTCTCATTAGACTGTTTTATAATTAGAATTTTCCAAGAAATTTAGGCCATTGCCCAAATAAGCTTACATAAACAAATAAATAAACAACCTGTGTCTTCCTGCATGCCATTACCATGTTGTTTTGATGATGAAGAAATGCATACTTTATGTATGTCCTCACCTTATACCAAAAGGGCTATTACCTTTCGGCTATATGAGAAATTGCTAATTCCATCTTTTTTGTGGAACAGAGGAACAGTGTGCAAATATTCATTAAAAATAAAAGTGATGCATGTAAGAGATCAAAAGATAAATTACTCCAAATGATGTAAAATAAAAGGGAAACCTTCCTCCCCAAACCTGCAGCTCTCTTCCCCCAAGTGTGTCCTCTTCATACCATTATGTGCTGTGGCAGATCAACTCACTCATTTCTCCACTTTGTTGTTGTGATAGATGAAGGAAGTTCTCAGAAGGAAAAGCACATGGAAGGAATGTTTTTATGGATGGGTAGCATTCCATTATGTTATGCCCCACATTTTCTTTATCAATTTATGAATTGATAAATAATCAAGTTGTTTCCTTTTCTCATCTCTTATCAATATGGCTGCAGTGAACATGGGAATACAAATATCCTCTCAGGATACTGAGCTCATTTTCTTTGTACATAAATTCAGTAGTAGGATTGCTGAATCACAGGCTCATTGTGTGTTTTATTTTTTTGAGAAACATCCATACTGTTTTCCACAAAAGCAGCACTAATTTACATTCCTACCAACAATGTAGAAGGGTTCCTTACTTGTCAACCTCACCAAGACTTGTTATCTTTGGATTTTGATGTACCCATTCTTGCCAAGGTGAGGTGATATCATTTTGTCTCCATTTCCATTGTGACTTATATTGTTGAATATTTCTTTATATCCTTAAGTCTATGTCTTCTTTTGAAAAATATCTATTTAGATTTTTTATTGAGTTATGTCTTCTATAATCTAAATATTAATCCCTTATCAGATAAAATATTTTCTGGGATTCTGTAGGTTGTCTGTCCTCTCTGTTGGGAGATTGCTGGGAGAAGCTTTTTAGTTTATTATAATCCTGTTTGTCTACTTATGCTTTTGTTCCTTGTGCTTTGGGGGACCTTTAAAATTCTTGACTATTCCATTGGCTGGAGGCATTTCTTCAATATTTTTCATCTAGCACTATCATAGTTTTGGGTCTTAGCTTTGAAGTCTTTACATTTTGAGTTGATACTCGAATATGATGAAAGGAGGACTAGTTTCATTCCTCTGCATGTGAATATCCAATATAGCAAGAGAACAATTTTTAGGATGTGGATGAGGCAGGTGGTGATATAGATAGAAAATGGAGCATTAGTGGTTTTTAAGTTTAATGCTAAGAGAGGGCATTGCGGAATTATAACATTTAGAGATTTTGTTAAAATATAGATTGATTATGAAATTTCAGGTTTAAATACCTAGAATTAGAGGTGCTGTAAAACGTTATGTTTAAGATATCACATCTTAAGTAATATAAATTTCTGTGTATTTCTTTTCTTAAAATGATAGCCTAGGATATTCTATTTTGATACGTTAATAATGGAATAAGTCTTATGATCTCATTACATCTGTTCATCTTATCTACTTAAATTTGAACCACTCCACCTCAAATATTAGTGTATTTTATCTATACAAACACTTGTCATTAATTTTTTAATTTCACTAGTTCTTCAGATTATGGAGCAATTAGCATTGACCATTTATCTTTCAATGATTTTTTACTAAGCATAAAGTCAAAAGGGCTTAAGATAGCTAAAGACCTGAGGTATCAAACCGTTTTCCAATGTTTAATATTTTTCTACTATGTAGCTACAGATAATCTGCTAGCTATTAATGGACCAGGATTGGTGAATGCAAAGATTACAGTTGTCCTGATACCTGAGAATTTCAATTTATTGTAAGGCTCTCAAACTTGTCCTATAATTGAGAATTTTAATTTATTATAAGTCTCTCAAACTTTACTGTTTATGATTACTCCTCAGACTGCTTGTTAGGAGTATAGGTTCTTAGAATTCATTCAGGGCTTTGGATTTAGTAGTCTGGGGTAAAGATACACATTTCTACAAGCATATTCTTCATGACTACAAAGCAAAAGGTCTTCATGTTGTTAAGTGCTGGCTTATTGGATCACATGCACTAGGTTTATTCTCTTTCCTTTCCCTCTTCTGCCTATTTCTATTCTATTGAAAGAAAATTTTTAGGGATTTAACACATAGAAAGTACATATTTCTGTATAGGGGTTTTAGTTTGAAATAGCAAAAAAAAAAGTAACTTTTGACGATTTAAAGGAGAACAGGAATAAACTAAAGAGGATTACATAGCTCAGAATTCTTCTGAGAAGGCTGGGAAATCAGGCTTAAAGGCTAAAAAACTGAAAGAAGCAACACCCCAAATTAACTCAGAGTGGCTATAGAAGATAAGCCATTGCTGAATTCCTGGGACAGATTAGACAACACCCCCAATTCTAGGCTCTAGAAGGTGTCTCCAGAAGCCGGCTCCTGCTACCCAGCCTTGCTCAGAAGTCTTGTTGTAATGCTGTCACTCTCCGTAAGCAGGATGACTTTAGGAAAAACCCCTGTGCTGTTACCTGTGGGACCTATTTTACCGGATTGGTTCTAAAACCAGCCTGTGTCATCTGATTGGCAGAGCTCTTAGTCTGTGCCATGTTCCAGGGAAACAGCTGGTTTCGACAGTGCAAAGTATTCTCTTCCTCTCTCTAAGAGGCATCAGGAATGAATCTCTTAAACATAACAAATATTGTTAAAAGAATAACAAAAACTAAGCCATCTTTATGATATAGGAATATGGAACATATGCAACTTCCTCATCTTCTGTAATTGATTATTAGGTTATAGTGTTGAATTAATGGTCCTGTGATTGAAAAATCAATTTTTATTGTATATAAACATCAAGATATAATTTATAAAAATCTTGTTAAAGATTTAGTTTTATGTCCTTCCAATTTACGAATTTTCATTTGAAAGTGAATTCTGATACTCATGTTGGTGGGAAAAATATCTCTTCCTCTAGGAAAAATTTTGCGAAGAGTTGAAAATGCTTAGAATTTTGTGGGGAAAATTAGTGAAGAAGAAGAGAAAAATTCTCCTTCCTTAGAGAAATATTATTAAGCAAATTTAATAGTGAGAGAAAATCTTAGACAACTAAAGTGAATAATTTTTTCATGATATTTCTTACATAAGTATATGTAAGAAGTCCCTCAACTACTGGGATGAGGTATGCCTTGAAAGGTGGTTTATTCTCTGCCCTTGAGCTCCTTTGCTGATAGGTACTGTGATAGCAAATGCACTGGGGAAAGAGACTCTGTATTTGATACCTATAAAACAGGAAAAATGGAATAATCAGTAAAAAAAAACACCATTTGTTGTACATCTATTGAATGCTGACTCTATAAGAATATGTAACATGTGATCATTAACTTTGAGAAGTTCACAGAGAAATGGAAACTCAAAAATTATTGGGTTATAAAAATACATGAAAGAAGAAAATTTGGGTAAAATGCAAATAGAGAGAAGGCATATTTAACAAAATGGAGGAGTCAAGGCTCACTTTTCGAATAGGTAGTTCCTCTATTCTAGAGACTGAGAAGTTAATCAAATGGTAGGCATGACATATATTCCAAGGATTAGCGTGGATTCAGGGGCAGTCATGAAGTTGCACTTAGGAAACCTTAGAAAGAACACCATGAGAAGGAGCTTACAATGGTAAGATCGTAGAGGGCTGTGAGTGAGGGAACAGATCCAGTGTGTCAGATCCAGGGCTCAAAAAGTACAGCGGAGAACTACTGAAGTGGTTAGGTAAAGTGATGACCAGATTATATAAATGTAACTTATTGTTTAAAGGAGATACATAGCAAGCCAGGTAATGAACACAGGAATGTGAAACTGTTTCAGTAACTCCATAACCAAATGATGGAGCCAGAAATTACAGATAAAGGTACTAAGATGAATTTGCATTACTCGTTGAGAGGACTGAGGAGACATAGACATTCACTTGGAATAAGGGGTCCAGGAAGGAATTCAAAGATCTCTAGATATTTTGCTTGAATAGCTTAACGGGCAAAGTTGCCTTTTACCAACCCAGAATTTTTCTTTTGGCAAATGACTATGAGTTCAGTTTTGGATATGTATTAAGAAGGATGTCTAAGGTGAGATGAATGTTTGAAAGCTGGAACTGGCAATATGAGATTGAAGCTCAAAAGAGAGTAAATTTGTTGGATTTGTACTGTAATTCAAGCCATTGTTGAAGGTGAGATTACCCAGTGCAGTTGTGTAAAGAGGGCAGAGAAAGGAACTAGATTTACGTAAGAAGTAGCTAAGGAGAAGTTGAGAGAAGAGAGAGCCATGACAGAAAGTGGCAGGATCAGCACAGTGAGCATATCCCCATGCCCATCAGTTCCCGTGTCCCCATCATACATTTTTCCTGGATGAACTGGCTTCGCTGTGTCGTCTGTCACTAGTTCCACTCCTTTTGGCTCTGTACTATGTGGTACAATGCTCATTTCTGTGGAGACCCCAACTCTGCCCAGCTGTGTTGGAGCCTTGCAAAAAATAGTTGCTAGATTCTTCACAGACTTCTTGAACTGTAATTCTAACAACTGATTCTTGGTGGAGAGATGTTTGTTCATCCACTTTTCACCAGGGATTCATTTGTCAGTGTCTGGAGATATTTTGGGTTGGTGAAACTGAGGGGAGAAGAGGTCTGATCTTGGCATCTAGTGGGTAAAAGTAAAGGATGCTGTTCAAAATCCTACACAGCAAAGGACAGTTCTCACTTATCTAAGAATTTTTTTTCCAATATGTTAACAGT